CGCGTTTTCACTGAGGAGGACATGGAGAAGCCCCTCCAGGAGCTGGGTAGGCCCCCCCGCTCTGACCCCCAACCCCCCACCCTGCTGGGGCTGCCTGGGCTGTGGGGCAGGGACGGCCTCCACCCCTGCCCGGAGCCTCACTCTTGTCCCATCCTGCAGGCCTGGTGCCTTCCGCTGTGCTCATCGTGGCCAAGAAGGGCAGCAGCTGAAAGACCCCCCTCCTCGCCTGCCTCTTCTGCCGTGGATAGCGCCCCCCCCAGCCCCCAAGCGCTGCCCCACAGGACTGGGGCTGCCCCATGGGGCTGTGTTTGGGGGAGGGTCCTAGATGGGCCCTGCCCAGAGACACAATAAACCTGGTCTGTTCCACGCTGCTGCCTCCGCTTGGTAACGGTGCAAGGGGAGGGCCTCGGCCAACTCCCCTGGCACAGCTGGTGCCCCCCACTCTGCCCCCAGCGAGGAGCAGCCGCCTGGGTACGGACAGGCCCCCCTTGCTGAGGGTCTCGGTGTAGCCGGCACCGCCCCAAACGCTGCAGAAGAACCCAGGAGGCCGGGTCCCAGCACTCCCCAGCCCGAGGCATTTCTGGTGGAGCCAGAACTGCGCCCGTGGCACCGGGTGGGAGCCAGGAAGGGCTCCTGTCCTTGCCCCCGTCTGAGCTGAGTGCCCAGCCCTGGGCTTTCCCTGGCACCTGGAGGAGCAGCTGGGAGCCCCCCGGTCTCCATTTGAGAGCCCTGCCCTGCCGCTCGGCCTCCCCCCACTCGTTACAAAGGGCCTAGAGCTGCCAGGCACGACAAGGTCTATCCCAGCTTTATTTCCCCCATAAGCGTCTCCCTGAACCCGCCCCGATCCTGCCGGGTACGTAGCCCGGCCCCAGGCCCCTGCCCCCCTGGCCGGGCGAGCTGCGAGGGGGCTGGAGGGAGGGACGTGGAGGGGCAGCAGCGCCTCGTCTCGGCGCGTCTCCGGGGTCGGTCTCACGGGTACTACTTCATCTGCTTCCCTGTGGGTTTGCAACGGTGACCAAGCCCCAGGAGGCCAGGCCTGGGGGCAGAGGGCAGCGGTTAGTGGGGGAAGAAGGGGGTGCCCCCTCCACCCAAGCCCGAGGTGCCCACCCCCTATGCGGGGGGGAGGGGCCCTAACACCGTATGACCCCGAACTTGACCGTAGCTGCCCCCCTGCCCCATAGCGGGATGGGGATGCAGGGCGCTGTTTCTATGGAAACTGGGTAATTTCCACCCCTGTTCTTGCATTGAAACAAACACCCCCCTGACCCTGTGACCTCTGCGTGAAGGAGGGGTGACCCTTGACCCCAAAAGCAATCTA